CGTAATACAGAATCCTACCTAAACACTCATGGGACTAGAAGCACATTTTGCAGCAGTGAATATATAGCAGTGGGAACATTTCCATGGGATTCCTTGGTCATATATTCCTTATTACCTAAAAATGCCAACTTACTAGAGTGATCGAAAGGCCTTTAGAGGGGGCAGCTGAGTCTCAGAGAGATAATGTCCACTAAGGAAGGGGTGCTTTTCTCCAAGATACAGTATGCATTCTAAATCAATGATCATTATTATCGAATTTTTTTTTCTATTGAATACATAGGTTCAAAACCAAGGAGTGACTCTACTTCAGTCCATGATTCACTTGGGAAATCTGTTTCCCTTCCACCTCTGGGTCCTGCCAATTTACAAGGCCTAGTTCTCAGAAAAGGAAAAGCTGTTATTAAGTAATACATCAAGAACCTCATTAATCTTTAAGCCATGGCTCCTACTCATTTACTTTAGGCCTCCTATTTTAGGAAACAGGAGATAAGAGGAGTCATCATCCTGGAAGGAATAACTATGGTCAGCTGGAGGTAGAGCTGTTGTTACACAGTGAGACAGTAAATAATATGTTTGATTCCCACTTGATCCACTGAATCATTTATTGGTATTTTCTTGACCAGTTTTGGTGGTAAACATCAGTAATGTGCATCAGTAGTGGCTTGAGAAGGGCATGGTGACCTGGTGCACAAAATCCGCAGTGATGAAGGGCTGGTAACCTCAGTAAGATAAGCTGCTTACACCAAATGATGTACTAGCCCAGGATGAGGCAATTTAGATTGGTAATAGTAGAAAGAGATGATGAATATCATCTCACTACAGTTTCTGCTGACAGTTTTCCCAGGAAAGGTGACTAACCAGCACCCTGGAGTAGCTTTTCCCAGATAGAGTGAATTATCATACGTAGAAAGTGGAGCTGAGCAGATGCTATAGTGCAGCAGCCAGATCCCTTCCTCCATACTGAGGGATTCATTCCTCCAACTACAGAGAGTTTTAAGAGCTGATTGCTATCGGCTAAACCTTTCTTTAGAAACTACCCTGGAGGCAGTTGGTTAAGCATCAGCCTCTTGATTTTGGCTCAGGTCATGATCTCTAAGTCTTGAGATCAAGCCCTGAGCCCCATCCCTGGCTCTGCACTGAGGGTGCAGCCTGCTTTGGATTTTCTCTCTCCACTCTCTCTCTGCCCCTCTCTGCTTCAAGCCTCTCTCTCTCTCTTAAAATAAATAAGCAATAAATAGATAGATGATAGATAGCTAGCTAGCTAGCTCTAAATCAAATAGAGCTATCCCTCCCAAGGTCATGCCCTCTAGGTGGGACTAGTACAGAGGCATGGACAGGTTGAAGAGGAGGGTTGGGTATATAAAGCTTAGCTCCCTTGCTTTAGGGCAGGACAATTCTGAGAAGACCTCACAGCTCCATCACTTCTCTAGAGCTATTGAGACCTTTATTGCAACTGCAGTGTAGCTCAGCTCTCCTCCCCAGCAATCCTAAGACTGTCACTCAAGTGTTGATCTGGAAGGTCAATACACTTCCTGCACACATATCTCTGTTTTAGAGTCTTTTCCAAGAAACCTGACCTACAGCAAATACACATATTCAGTATACATTCAGTAAGACTATATAGAGTATGTATTAAACACATATAATTCTTTTAAGTGATGCTTATGTATATTAAACTATATATAATGTAAGTATATTTTATGCATATAAATATAAACATACTCCTCCACACACATATAAAATATATTTCTTAGGAATGCCATTATTTGACTTTTCTAGACGATAACCTTGTCTTCATCATGTTTGTTTTTAAAGTTAAAAAAATATCATTTAGGAGCTTTGTGAAATGGAAATTCCTAAACATGGGTGAGTCCAACAGATGCTTCTGCCAATACAATGTTCAGTACACCATTGTCACAGGATTGGATTTTTAGAAGGCCAGTGACCCAAAACTTACATAGATCAGAGAAGACCGTGTTTAAATGTTTGTTCACATTTGGTCTGTTCCTGGCTGAGCCTATTGACACCATCCCCTAACAAGAAAAGAGCTAGAGATACATCAATAAGTGCATGTTGGAGAGTATAATATTGTTAACTATTTGGAGGCGAAAGAGAGTCATTATTGTTGCATTGATTATCATCCACTTGTTTTGTCCCTTAACTTTCTGGCTTCAGAATTTTGTTTTTACAACATAACACAGCTCATATCTCCTAAAAATGAGACGAGGACACAAAGAAATTCTGTTTCGTCTAAGAAGAAAAATTAAGTTGTTTACAATTAATTCACAATACTTTTTTTGGTCACCAAGGCTGACTTCAGATAATCAATCTCCTCTAAAGATTTTATTTGTATGTGAAGGACTAATCACCAAGTAAGCAAATATTTAATAGATTTTCGAGACCTATAAACATTTCACGATAATGATGCTGGTATCCCTAAGTACACTATTAAAACCAGATAGCATGCATCCTTGCATAGCTAATAGAATGAGTTTATACTGAAAGTTCCTTAAATATTACCAAAAGCAGCAGTTCTGTAAATTTATACTACTAAAATTAGAAGCCGTTGAGATAGCTGTGAAAAGATTCTAAGGTTGGGGAAAGAAACCTCAGAATGTTGCAAAAGTAGAAATTTAAGTAGGGCTGTCAAGATTTGAAAACCTTTTTAAAAACTGGGGAAATTTGAGGATTCTGTTCTTTGATTCCTTAGGGCATCTATTACTTCACTACTTTTGTTGATTTTTTTATTATTTTAATGCATCACAAAGAATCTTTTTTAAAGAACAGTGCATTTTAACTATTCTGGGTGGTGTATGTTCACACGCCTTACTATTCTTACGTTTATATAATATTGAAGCTTCTCTTCAGTGTTCACATGAAAGTACTTGTCATGTAGAAAAAAATGATAGTCTCAACAAATGGCAAAATGACATTTTTATCTCTTTAAAATGAGAGTTGTGTGCATTGTGAATTCATAAGGTAAAGGTAATAAAACAATGTAGAATTAATGAAAGTCTACATGAAACCCAATAATGATAATAGTAATAATAATAGCTAACTTTTTGGGGCACCTGGTGGCTCAGTCTGATTCAGGATCTGATTCAGCTCAGGTCATGATCTTGTGCTCTGTGAGTTTGAGCCCCGCATTGGGCTCTGTGCTGACAGCTCAGAGCCTGGAGCCTGCCCCTCTCCCACTCATACACTGTCTCTGTCTCTCAAAAATGAATAAATGTTGAAACAAAATTTAAAAAAACTAAAGAATAAATAGCTAACTTTTATTGAGCTTTACTGGGTGGCCAAGTCTTTAAGGACTAGCTCATTTAATTCTCCAACAACTTTAATTATATGGTACCATTATTATTCCCATTTTATTGATACAGAGTTTTAAAAAAAATTAATGTTTTATTTATTTCTGAGAGGAAGAGAGAGACATTGTGAACAAGGGAGGGTCAGAGAGAGAGGGAGAGACAGAATCTGAAACAGGTTCCAGGTTCTGAGCTGGCTGTCAGCACGACAGCCCGACACGGGGCTCCAACCCACTAAGTGTGAGATCATGACCTGAGCAGAAGTCGGACGCTTAACAGACTGAGCCACCCAGGCGCCCCTATTGATACGGAATTTTAAGACCACAAAGGTTAAGTAATCTTTCAGGTATAAAGTCACAAAGGGCAAAACTGGGTGAAGTTAATATTTAAAGACAGCAAATGTTTGCATCACACTTAATAAGTGTATACTATGTTAATATTATTAGAATGTGGAACCAAGAGCTTGTTGTTCTTGTATTTTCCCCTTTTTTGTTGTTGAGATATAATTGACGTATAGCATTATATTAGTTTCAGGTATACAACATGATGATTTGATATTTGTGCATATTGCAAAATGATGACCAAAATAAGTTTAGTTAGCATCTGTCCCTATGCATGGGTATAGATACTTTTTTTTCCTGTGGTGATGACTTTTAAGATCTATTCTCTTAGCAACTTTCAAATACACAATACAGTTACTATTTTAAAGCAAGTTTACTTTTTAATTTCTTCTTCTTTTAATGAAAGAAACCAGAATATTGTAGATCAGGGGTGGGCAATCTATGGCAAGCTGTGGCCCATGAGCCAAATCTCTTCTGAGACACTTGCATTTGTAAATAGTTTTACTGGGACTGACCAACATTAATCATATATTCATGTAATTAGCTGTCGTTGACTGCCTTGACAATATGATGGTAGGGTTGGGTGACTGAGAGAAATACTTTATGAACCCAAGTTCACATGAAGATTGTATGAACCCACATTCATACAAAGCCAAAGATATTTATGTACTTTTTCCAGAAAAGGTTTACTAAACACTGTGGTATATCCCTTCTGTGGGATGCATGTAAAATGGCAAAAGTTTAGTCTCAGTATCCAGTAGTAGAAATAGTAATACCTTTCAACAGTACCTTCTATTAGCACATTTCAAATTAGCAAATATAATCTGGGAAATAAAATCTGAGATGAAGGACAAACTTAATCTAGTTTAAGATCACATTTTCTCACTATAAAGATAATAATTTATAAACATAATTCTTTGGTTGCTTTAAATATATAAGTTATAAATATTTAGAAACGTATGGTAAGGGGAAGAGTCAAATCAGCCACTTGATATTTCCGTTTCCCTATGTATACTGTTTTGGCTAAGCTCTTGAATTGGAGGGTCTTGGATTCTGATATCTCATGGAGCTCTGTGTTATGCACCTGTTAGAAATGTGTTGGAAATATGCAAAGACATGTGTACTGTCTTAACAAGTAGAGATCTTTTAAAAAATAGCTCTACTTGTTTTTACTGCCTATCATTGGAATTTCCTCTAGAAAATTTCAATAAACTAAATGAAAATATTGAGTCTAGCGATAAGCAATTAAATTTGATTATGAAAATGCACCTTTGATTAGGTTTCATATGTGTAATACTTATAAAGTCCATGTAACTCATAATATGTCACTTGGTTGTTTTTATTTATTTTTTAGATTTGGATGACCCAGTAGTAACTGTTCATCAAAGCATAGGTGAAGCTAAAGAACAATTTTACTATGAAAGAACAGTATTCCTCCGATGTGTTGCGAGTTCCAATCCACCGGTTCGGTACAGCTGGAGACGTGGTCAGGAGGTGTTACTACAAGGATCTGATAAAGGAGTTGAGATTTACGAACCCTTCTTTACCCAGGTAGGAATTAAGATATTTACATCTTATAATGTTAAAATGCTTTCGTAATTCAGGTAGCATGTAGTATTATGTCTATTTGAAAAGAATCTCTCCAAATCTGGCCTTGTAAAAAATAATATGTTCTTGGGCTCCTGGGTGGCTCACTTGATTAAGAGTCTGACTTCAGCTCAGGTGATGGTCTCACAGTTCGTGGTTCGAATCCTGCACTGGGCTCTGTGGTGACAGCTCAGGGCCTGGAGCCTGCTTGGGATTCTGTGTCTCCTTCTCTCTCTGTCCCTCCCCTGCTCGTGCTCTGACTCTATCTGTCCCTCAATAATGAATAAACCTTAAAAAAATTATTTAAAAACCATATGTTCTTGACTGAAAGGTAACTCATATAACAAAAGAAAATTTGTCAATTTTTTATGTGATAGTTAAATGTAAAATGTTAACTTTTGAAAAAATAAATCAAGTTAATGTATACTAACTTGTATTCCTCTATCCATACGTTTACCTAGGTTTCATTATAAAGTACATAATTACACATTTGATGACTGTTTTGTTTTTCATTGAAAATATTTCTTAAAGGGATAGATTTTGATTTTCCTGTTTGCAATGATAAACACTTTTAAAGGAATTAAGAAATGTACTTGAGGGGCGCCTGGGTGGCTTAGTCGGTTAAGCGTCCGACTTTCACTTAGGTCATGATCTCGCGGTTCGTGGGTTCGAGCCCCGCGTCGGGCTCTGTGCTGACTGCCAGCTCAGAGCCTGGAGCCTGTTTCAGTCTGTGACTCCCTCTCTCTCTGACCCTCCCCTGCTCACGCTGTCTCTCTCTCTCTCTCCTAGAAATAAATAAAAAACATTAAAAAGAATTTAAAAAAAAAAAAAAAAAAAAAAGAAATGTACTTGAGGGGCACCTGGGTGGCTCAGTCGGTTGAGCATCCGACTTTGGCTTAGGTCATGATCTCACGGTTTGTGAGTTCGAGCCCCTGCCGGGCTCTATGGTGGCAGCTCAGTGCTTGGAGCCTGCTTCGGATTCTTGTGTCTCCCTCTCTCTCTCTGCCCCTCCCCCAGTCATGCTCTGTCTCTCTCTCTCTCTCAAAAATAAATAATAAAACTTAAAAAAAAAAAACTTGAAATTCACTTAACTTTGGTTTTAGGAAAAGAATCTCTGATTTCTTTCGTTCATTTTGGGTTTTGACTTAGTTTAATAATAGAGCCTTAATTATGTAAAAACTAAAATTTCTAATGAGTCCTTAACTTAATAAAAGGAGAACTTGAATTAATTTCACATAGTTTGAATGTAATGTGAAATATTCTTCTATAATATATTGAGTGGAGAATTAGTAATTCTTGAGGAAGACACTGAAATTTGTAAGAATACTTGAGTGCTCTTATTATAAAGCATTTTCTGGGGCACCTGGGTGGCTCAGTCGGTTAAGGGTCCAACTTCAGCTCAGGTCATGATCTCACAGTTTGTGGATTTGAGCACCCCATTGGGCTCTGTGCTGACAGCTCAGAGTCTGGAGCCTGCTTCAGATTCTGTGTCACCCTCTCTCTCTGACCCTCCCCTGCTCATGCTGTCTCTATCTCTCTCTCAAAAATAAATTTAAAAAAATTAAAGAATTTTCTGGTGACTAGAAAGGAGCAGTAACCTAATTAACAATGAAAGATAATTTTTAAATTAAAAAATGTCTGTGATAAATATTTAAAATAATTGTGACCATGAATAATAAAAAAATTATATAGGTAACAAGATAAATAGGGATTTGACCATTTTATATGTACCTTTGAGATATAATGTGACAATACCTAGGTCAATATACAACTAAATTTTATAATAAATATTCTACTTCTACATATTAAAGATCAATACATGTTTCACCTCTTAACTCTATAATAACAAAAGTTCCTCCTAAGTTTGTAAATTTCTAAGCACCTAATTTTTCATCATTAAATATATTTCCTTATTAAACCTTCCTCAGTAAACCATTTAGTTGTAATATCTGAGTCCTGACCTCTTTCAATTAATATAATTGCCAATGTTTAGGCATTAACTGTGGAAGAATGCATAATTGTACAAGAACACATGAACACATTATGCATTCTTCTCTATTGCTACTTGGAGGTATAGAACAGCTGGGATTTACCAAGATAGAAACTTCTGAAAATCATTGTTGCACATGTGTTACTACTGAGACTACCACGACACAGTGTTGAAGCCTGTTTTGATTTGACCCTCTCCAGACTTAGGCCATTATAATATCAGTTGCTTTCTGCCAAATGGGAAGATCATAGTTTCCCAGTTCATTCAGCACTACTGTAATTCATTGTTCAGTTTTTACTTAAACCATTTTTTTTCTTAGTTAGAAATTAACAAAATAAATGTTAGCAGTATTTAGTTGCTTGGGTGGCCCTAACATTTAGAAATCAAATTAATGATCATATACTACTTTTATTTTCATTTTTCTATTGTCAGTGTTTTTCTTTTTGAGTATGTACATTGTATTTTTAAGATTTTATTTTAATACCAGTTACTTAACATACAGTGTAATATTAGTTTCAAGTGTACAATATAGTGATTCACTCCTTCCATCCATCACCCCATGCCTATTTCACCCATCCCCCCACCTACCTCTCCTCAGGTAACCATCTTTTTGTTCTTTATAATTAAGAGTCTGTTTCTCTCTCTCTCTCTCTCTCTCTCTCTCTTTTTTTTTCCTATTCCTTGTTTTGATTCTTAAATTCCACTCGTGAGTGAAATCATATGGTATTTGTTTTTCTTGGACTGACTTATTTTGCTTAGCATTATACTCTTTAGCTCCATCAATGTCATTGCAAATGGCAAGATGTCATTCTTTTTTATTTTTTATTTTTTATTCAGCATATATCACATTCTGTATACTCTGTGTACATATATATTAATGCACCAGCAGTGCATGAGTGTTCCTTTTTCTTCACATGATCACCAATATTTTTTTTGTTTTTGGTTTTAGCCATTCTGATGGGTGTGAGATGATTATGGTTTTGATTTGCATAAGTTATGATGAGCATCTTTTCATATGTCTGTTGGCCATATGTATGTCTTCTTTGAAGAAATGCCCGTTTCTGTTTTCTGCCAATTTTTAATTGGATTGCTTTTTCATTGTTGAATTTTTAAGTTCTTTATATATTTTGCATACTAACCCTTTATCAGTTATGTCATATGCAAATATGTTTCATAGGTGGCCTAGAATACGTACGTTGTTAACATTTAGAGAACATGTTTTCTTCTAGATTCTTGTGAAAAATGATAACATTTATAGATATGGAGGTCTTACTTTATAGCTCTTTCTTGCCTGTAGGTGGCTCTGATCTCTTGGACATGAACACATGGGTGCTGTCCAAGTTTTGGAAAAAGAAAATTATACTTTCAAAATAATTAGGAATTTGTTTTAAAGTTATTAAACAAGCACAATCAGACTTTGCATTCTTTTGAATCTGTTGCTAGTATCTGTGTTACCAGCTCTAAAAAAACATCTTAGGAGAGTTCTCAGACTAATAGCTAATGATTCCTCCTTTTAATAATAACTTTTATTTTCTCTTTTTCTTTTTCTACCTCCATTCACTTTTGAGACAATGACTTTTTAATTTGAACATGTCACTGCTGGTATTTCCTTGGATATGAATATCAGCCTTTACTATATGACACAGGTTCTCTCAGGTGGCTGTGCTCATGACTCTCCTGCTTAAACCATCTGAATCAGTTCTCTTAAAAACTATTTAACACACAAACTTTTCTTGCAGATTTTGTGTTATTGATCTGCCTGCTTCAGTTGATAATTGGCCAATAACATGCAGGTTAGCTCCTATTTAAAGACGCCCTTCCTGCCTTTGGTTACTTGACTGTGTTGCTTATCTCTCCTTCTGAAGTAGCTAATATGTATTTGTATCTTTCCAAAAGGTTCATGTTGGAGCACAAGGAATACTTTAATATTTCTATGTTATATATGCACTTAACATGTTAATAGCAAACATGTTTTTAGGCCAAACTGATAGAAACTCTCAAGCAGGAGCATATGGAAAATTTAGTTCTTACAGCCATAGAGAGTGTGGGCTTTTTCACAGACAAAATGTTACCAGTGGTTTCACTTGATTTTCCATGTACTATACTGCACATAGGCCTAATGTACACAAGCCCAACTATATCACACAGCTACCATGATCTCTCTGTGGAATATTGGAATATCGATATAACTGGCTGCCATGCTTTATTACTCCAGACATCTGACTGATCATTTAAAAGTGTAAATCTGATCACATCTTTTTTTTTCTGCTTAATCACTCCAGGGGCTTCCAATTATTTTGAATAAATCCAAGTAATACGGTGTGACCTAGATTATGTTTGACTTTGCTCTGCCTTCTTCTTTCTTACTTAATCTAAACTTCATTCGCTGTTCCGATTACACCATCCCTAGAGGCCAACCTTGTCTGCGCCTGGGGTCTCCATTTTATTAATTCTTCCTTATATTCACCTAGATAACATGGCATGGGTCTTCTTAACACTTACCACTACAGAAAGCCTTCCTTGACAGATCTTTATGTCATCCCTTCCCTTCCACAGTTGCACTCTTCGAATACCCAGCTTTATTTTATTTTATTTTTCTCATTGCACTGAATCCATCAAATTATCCCATTTGTGTGTTTGGACCTAAACTCCCTAATTATAGAGTCTTTATCTTTTCAACAGCTCAAACGGTGCCTGATGCATGGAAGTTTCTCAATAAATATGTGTTAAATTGTTGAGCCCAGTACTTCCATGGAGATGTCTGAATTTCTAGCTGTGGTATAAATAAAACTGAGTCCAAATTACTAGTAACTCTTGAGTCACTGTCTGTAATTTTCTTTTTTACCCACTAAAGAAGGCTTAGTGAAATGTGCATGAGAATGATGTTATAATTAAATCCATCTTAATGTATTTAGTTTCCAAAGTGTTCATGGTTTTTCTAGTTACAGTTTTTAATTGATTTCTAGTCTAATTT